TCCCCACCAGCCCTTCATTGTTGATGAGAACGAGGTCCAGCAAAGCACCTCTCCTCATTGGTTCCTCTATCATTTGGAGAAGGAAGTTATCATGTATGCATTCCAGGAACCTCCTGGATTGTCTATGCCCTGCTGTGTTGTCCTTCCAACAGATATCGGGGTGGTTGAAGTCCCCCATGAGGACCAGGGCTCGTGAAGGTCAGAGCTCTTATGTGTCTGTAGAGGGCCTCATCCATCCAGTCCTTCTGGTCAGATGGTCTGTAGCAGACCCCTACTACTCCGTCCCCTGTCCCTGCTCTGCCTTTAATCCTAACCCATAAGCTCTCAGTCAGGACCTCATTTGTCCCCAGGTGCAGCTCCATGCACTCTAGCTGGTCCTTGACATAGAGGGCAACTCCTCCTCCTCTTCTCCCCTGCCTATGCTTCACCCTTCTATTCTGACACTCCAGTCATAGGAGTCATCCCACCACGTCTCCGTGATGCCAATAAGATCATATCCCAACAGGCACGCACACACTTCTAACTCCTCTTGCTTATTCCCCATGCTGCGCGCATTGGCATAAAGGCATTTAAGTTGAGCCCCAGATGAATCTGACTTCCTGGCTGGAGCAGCTGGAATTCCCTTCTTCTGTTCTACAGGTACCTCCAGCATATCTTTATCATTCTTGATATTACCCCCCTCCCCCTTCAAATCTAGTTTAAAGCCCTGTCAGTGAGCCCTGCTAGCTTTTGTGCTAAGACCCTTGTTCCCCTCTGAGAAAAACAAGTCCTATCTGGTGCCAGTAGGCCTGGTGCCATATGACCCATGCCACTGTCAAAGAAGCCAAAATTGTGGTGATGACACCAGCCACGGAGCCACTTAATTGATTGAATGGACTTGCTTCTTCCAGTGTTATTGCTCGCAACTGGAAGGATGGATGAAAAGATTACCTGTGCCCTAGATCTTCTTACCAGCTGTCCCAGGGTCCTGAAATTCCTCTTGATTAACCGTGGACTCCGTGTTTCGGTTTCGTCTCCACCCACATAGAGGAGTAGTAAAGGATAGTAGTCTGTGGGCTGTACCAGGCTAGGAAGTTTCCTAGCAATGTCTTTAACCCGGGCTCCAGGGAGGCAGCAGACTTCCCTCAGAGCAGGGTCATGTCAGTGAAACCTTTAACGTACCTAAAACTTTTTCATCATCACAATGGAAGTTAGAACTGTAGGCTTGTCTGTTTTTAAGTAATATGGCCATGAACCATTACATTTTCATCCAATACATACAGGGCAGAAACTTAGTTACTTGTAATTGAATAGTCATATCTTTTTGAAAGATAAGACATGTTTCAGAATTGTATCTCAGTGCTCTCCCAAGTCCTCCTCGTCTTTAAGAGATTCATTTGTTAGAACACCTGGGACAATTTTAGGCAGACAGTGAAACTGTTTTTGAGGTACCTACAGATTTTCATTCCTTTGCAGATATAAGAAAATGTTGATGCTTAAAAATGGGCTTATTAAAAATATATATATATTGGTCATCTTGTACCTTATATTTCAATATAAGGAATCCCTACCTTTAAGGTCTGTCCCAGTTTTGTTCCCAAATCCTCCTCCCTTCCCACCTAGTGTAGTAGCTACCATGAATACTGCTGCAACTGGCATAAAGACTTCTGGAACAGACTGTACCAGGCTGCATGTGGCTGGACTGGAAACAGGGATGCCAGACTGAGATGGAACAAAGACAGGTATGAGAATGGTTGGAAGACATGGAAGTAGAAGACAATGTCAGAAGAGAGGTGGTTTTGAGGCTGGAAGTGAGACAATGTGACTGTTTAGACTAATTTTCAATCTGATATCACCATGGTGACAGATAGGGGCACAGGACTTGAATACTAATCAGCAGGTCACAATGAATACTTCCTAAACTTGCTCAGGTAGTACCAAGCGAAGATGTGCCTACAGACTTCTTTGGGGGAAAACATCAGACTGTTGGTAATTGAAGTAAAGTGGATGCAATATCAGTTAACTAGAATATGGCAGTAAAACTTCACCCATTAAGAATGAATGATTCCCTCAAAAAAAAGGGAAAGCCCTTTTGGAACTTTCCTTGTTTTAAGTCTAATCTTGTAGACTCTATTGTTAAATCCTATGTATAGAATTTATAGCCTGAGTTTTAGGGTTCAATGTTTGCTTTTCTCTACATTGTATGAGTGCATTTTGTTCCCTCCAGACTGTAAAGGGTAAGTTTTAGTTTGACACTTATTTGAAATTGTTAGCTCTAGAAGAATTACTGGCTTCTTGCAACGTTGCTTCTATCTAAATGTCTGTTTAAATAAAGATTGAAAAATGAAAAGTGAAGTAAGCCACAAGCCACCAGGTAATCAACAATCAGACACTCAGCTTGAACATATGACTGATAGAACTTCCGTATCCTGTGAGCTGAAAGTTGCTTTAATTTCAGGAAATAGTGTAACTAACTCAAGATAGGGTAGAAGATTTCCTCTGGATATATAAAAAATATTTTTCCTAATGTTTAATTTAACTGGGAAGAGTGTTAATGCCCTTTTTGAAGCTAGGATAGAGCAGTATCTGTCTGTCATATTTATGGACAGGAAGTATGGAACAAACTAGGAGTGATACAGACTTCTTTCTCTCTACAGATGAGATAGTTTCTAGTTTACCGCTGCAGATGTCCCTCTACTTCAACGTTTATTTTTTCCCATTTTGGTGGCTCAGCACAGTTGTCATGCTCCATCTGAAGGTGGGTCCTGAAGGAAAGTGATGGTTTGCAAGTGTAGTATGTTTCTGATCAAAAACCTCCTAGTACTGAGATAGAACTCACTGGAGTTAGAGATTATTAGGGAATTCCTTGAAACTGGAGGCTCAAGAGTATTTGAAAGCTAATAACGACACTGTCAACTTACAGTAGTATACAGTTTCTTCATTTAATCACAAACAGCATGTTATGAAACAGCACAGCAGAAACTTTTACCCTCTTCTTCCTTTTAGTATCCAGTCTTGTCAGATTACTACAAGTTCATCCTGGTCACAGTCATGATCCTAGCCTCTCTAATAGAGGTCATTCGACTCTACCTGGGATACATGGGCAATCTGCAGGAGAAGGTATGTTACCACATAGAATGGTTTGGGTTGGAGGGGACGTTAAAGATCATCTGGTTCCAACCCCCCCGCCATGGGCAGGGACACCTTCCACTAGATCAAGTTGCTCAAAGCCTCATCCAACCTGGCCTTGAACACTTCCAGGGATGGGGCAGCCACAACTCCTCTGGGCAACCTGGTCCAGTGCCTCTCCACCCTCAGAGTGAAGAATTTCTTCTTAGATCTAAATGTACCCTTCTTTCAGTTTCAAGCCATTGCCCCTTGTCTTATCACTACACGCCCTTGCAAAAAGTCCCTCTCCAGCTTTCTTGTAGGCCCCCTTTAGGTACTGGAAGGCTGCTAGGTCTCCCTGGAGCCTTCTCTTCTCCAACTCTCTCAGCCTGTCTGCATAGGAGAGGTGCTCCAGCCCTCAGATCATCTTTGTGGCCCTCCTCTGGACGTGCTCCAACAGCTCCATGTCCTTATGTTGGGGGCCCAAGAGCTGAACACAGTTCTCCAGGTGGGGTCTCACAAGAGTAGAGAGGCAGAATCAGAATGGTTAGGGTTGGAAGGGACCTCAAAGATCACCTCCCTCGACCTGCTGGCCATGCTTCTTTTGATGCAGCCCAGGATACGATTGGTTTTCTGGGCTGCCAATGCATTGCTGGCTCATGTTGAGCTACTCATCAACCAATTGCCCAAAGTCCTTCTCCTCAGGGCAGTTCTCAATCCATTCTCTGCCCAGCCTGTACTTGTGCTTGGGATTGCCCCAACCCATGTGCAGAACCTTGCATTTGGCCTTGTTGAACTTCAAAGTATTTGTGCAGGCCCATCTCTCAAGGTCCCTCTGGATGGCATCCCTTCCCTCCAGCGTGTCAATCACACCACACAGCTTGGTGTCATCAGCAAACTTGCTGAGGGTGCACTCAATCCCATTGTCCATGTCACCAACAAAGATGTTGAACAGCACTGACCCCAATACCGACCCCTGAGGAACACCACTCATCACTGGCATCCACTTGGACATTGAGCCATTGACCACAACTCTGAGTGCGATCATCCAGGCAATTCCTTATCCATCAAGTGGTCCATCTGTCAAACCCATGTCTCTCCAACTTAGAAACAAGGATGTCGTGCAGGACAGTGTGAAATGCTTTGGACAAGTCCAGGTAGATGATGTCAGTTGCTCTTCCCTTATCCACCAATGCTGTAACCCCGTCGTAGGCAGCCACCAAATTTGTCAGGCACAGTTCACCCTTAGTGAAACCATGTTGGCTGTTGCAAATCACCTCTGTTTTTCCATGAGCCTTAGCATAGTTTCCAGGAGAATGTGGTCCAGGATCTTGTCAGGCACAGAGGTGAGACTGACTGGCCTCTAGTTCCCTGGGTCTTCCTTTTTTCCCTTTTTAAAAACTGGGGCTATGTTTCCCCTTTTCCAGTCATTGGGAACTTCACCAGACTACCACAACTTCTCCAACGTGACAGATAGTGGCTTAGCAACCTCATCAGGTCCTATGGACTTGTGCACCTTCAGGTTCCTTAGATGCTCTCAAACCTGATCTTCTCCTGCAGTGGGTGGTTCTTCATTCTCACAGTCTCTGCCTTTGCATTCTGCGACTTGGGCAGTGTAGCTGGAGCTCTTGCCAGTGAAGACAAAGGCAAAAAAGTCATTGAGTACCTCAGCCTTCTCCACATCTCTGGTATCCAGATCTCCTGTGTCCTTCCAGAGAGGGCCTATGTTTTCCCTAGTCCTCCTTTTATCACTGACATACCTATAGAAGTTTTTCTTGTTGCCCTTGATGTTCCTGGACAGATTTAATTCTATCAGGGCTTTAGCTTTCCTAACCTGATATTTGGCTGCTCAGTTTCTCTATTCCTCCAGGCTACCTGTCCTTGCTTCCCCCCTCTGTAGGACTTCTTTTTGTGTTTGAGCTAGTCTAGGAGCAGGCCTCCTGGTGTTCCTACCTGACTTTGTTTGTTGGGATGCACTGCTCCTGAGCTTGGAGGAGGTGATCCTTGGATATTAACCAGCTTCCTTGTGCCCCTCTTCCCTCCAGGGCTTTATCCCATGTACATATTAATTTGTGCAGGAGAGCTTTTTGGAGTTTTAACAAAAATGAAATGGTCTACCCTGTCGGGGAAGTCTTCTGGCTGCTGTATGGGTTAAATAGAAGACACCTGTGGTCCTTGTTAAAACAGGTGTGGTGAGTCACATTGGTCAGCTGGAAACCATGTGACCCATGGATGGTTAAAGGTGGGGCACTGCCTCCTGGGAGAGGGGCATTTCCCTCCTGGGTACTGGAGAGGTAGGAGCCCTTAGAGAGTGGTGACTTGGAGCTCTCTGTTGGATAGATTTCTGATTAAGATAACATTGAGATTAGAACAGCCTTCTGATTGTGGAATACATCGTGATCGCAACGACCGTTGGGTTGTGATTCACTGTGAGAAGATACAGGCAGTTCGTGACATCTGGTGACCCCGACGTGATTCGTTGGGACACGAACTGCCTGGACCGCAGGGTGAAGTGCGGTAGAGACAGAGCCCAGTGAAGCTTGAGAGTGGCAGAAGCTGCGGATCGACTTAGACATCTGGAACAAGGTGAGCCGCTGGGAACGGAAAATGGGACAGAACTTTGTAAAAGAAAACCAGACCTTTGTATTCCTTAAATCTGCAATAATGGCTGCGGGGATCGACATAAGCAATGAGGATCTATATAATTTACTTAACTGGGTGGCGGAGCGTGATTTCCTAGCGAATTTCAATACCGCCTTTAGCCTTGAGCTTTGGAAAAAGTTGGGGGATAAGTTACTTTGTGAAACTGTGATTGAGCAAAAGAACCTGACCGACCTGCTGCGTACATGGGGGGCCCTAGACAATATAATTCGAAAGGGGATGGCAGTAGAAGAGGAAGATGAATCAACAGATTATGTATCTCTGGGCGAAGGTTTTGAAGGAGACAATGAACTGTCTGAGGGAGGACTAGCCCTGGACAGTATGGACAGGGAATATGATATATCTTCACTGTTCACAGAGATTAAGAAAGTTGCGGGGACCATGCAGGGACTCTGCCCCACCCTGCAGGAGGTATTGGAGCGTCCCT